ATACACAGTATACTGCATCACTACAATATACATGTTTTACACACTCCTTTTGTTGTTGACATTTACAGGCTGTGTGCAAAAAGGCCACACTCTTCAAATTCATGCCAACTAATATTTTTACGTCCAGTAGGTGTCCTACTAGAGCAAATGAAGCTTCAAGAAGCTTTGCGCTGGAATGAACCAATTGGATGAAAAGCTTCAGTGTTTCATGAAGCTTCATCTGCCCATCACTACTATTCACTGCTGTATCTGTTGGTCATATTTAGGATAAAATGTGTTCAATAAATTAAAAAAAAAGAAGCTGAAAATCAAAATGCATAAATAACATACATTAAAAAGATCTAGCAATTAATTTTATTGTAAAAATAGATAATCAAATAACAGGAACAAAGAAAAACATCTCTGATTATTATATAACTGGACAAAAAAATGATGTGTAGTGTCAAAAGGATGTCACACTGAATTTCACAAGGACTTATATGCGAGTTGGTATATATAGGTATATGTGAACACATATACTGTACATAATGTCATGGCTGTGTGCAGGCAGACAGAGAGGAAGGAGCCAAAAGGCAGGACTCACGGAGGCGAAAGTAAACTCAGAATAAACTGCTTTATTGCAGGCTGCTGATCAAACAGAAGACTAACTAAACTGGAAAATATAAACTAACAGGCAGGCAAAAACAGGTAACAAGGGATGAGAGACAGGAGGGGAACACACCTGGGAGAAATCACAGCTGACGAGACAGGGAAAACGTAAACTGTACACACTCACATAAGACAAGGACCTTCAGAATAAAACAGGAAACTAACAGACGCAGAGGACCAGACGAGACATCATGGACAGACAGAGGGACATACGGGCAGAGAAGACTAAGCACAGGCAAAACCTAAACTAAACATGAGGGCAAGAGAACAAAACCTAACCCAGAAATAATAATAATAATAATAATCATCATCATCATCATCATCATCGGATAGCTAAAGAATCAGAACATAATTATAATGAGCATAATCTGGAAACACACCAAAATACAAGAAACTGAAAAAGCAGGGTCAAAATGACCCACAACCGTGACACATAATTAGACGTGGTTTTTCTGTCCTTTCTCGCGTTGGTGTGATTCTGGGTTTTCTTATGGTTGAACACATTCATGGTAATTATGTTTTTTTGTCTCTTTCTTGAAAACTACATTTTCTATGACAGATATTTCTCTTTCTTTTATTCTTCTCTAAAAATGACCACATTTTTCTTCTGAACCAGTTCAAGTCAGTAACTGTTTCAGCCATCTTGACTTCAGGTGATGGTTTTAAAATGTTTCTGAACAAAACCCTGCACGCATGTTTCTGCATGTTTGCCATCATGTAATCTATATGACTGAATGGATTTCAGCCGTTTATCTTCTTGTGGGTGTCTCCTGGTTCATTTTACATTCCCAGATAGCGTGATTAAATAGCATCAGTGTCAATGAATTATCAAGTCTTAAGGAAAAGTGCAGAAATTCTGCACTTCAGATCCAGTTCTGTTGTAACTGGCTTCAGAAAAGTTGAAATAAAACTCAATAAAACAGCATCGTCTGTGCTGTGATAAATCAGTTAATGTATTTATTAAAGAATGTGCTACTTGACTAATAGCAAAAAGTCATTATTTTACACTATTTTTTTTCTTTCAAACACAGATTGGAAAAGTAGTTACACGTCACATGTTTAAATTAAAAACAAAACAAAATAACAGTTTCCCGATGATGAATGAATCGTTGTCTAACATGGCTAAATTACCCCCCCTCTCCTTCTTTTCCTGCTGTCCATGGCTCCTTTAGAAAAACAGATCCCTGTCATTCATCATCTTCTATGTCCTGCTGTCATGATCCTGCTTTTTGCTTTCTGTGAGTAGTTTTGGCTTCAATATCTGTGAATTAGAAAGAAAATTAAACTAATAAACAAACACGATAAAAGTTAAGAAAATAAGGAAAGTTTTGTCACAGTGTATATTATGGAAAATAATAAAAATAACTCTCCAGGAAAATGAACAGCCTAGCAGAATACGTGCCACACTGTTAAACACTTTATTGTTAAAATGTGGCAGCATTATAAACAGTGTTGGGTGTAATGCATTACTAAGTAACGAGTTACTGTAATTAAATTACTTTTCCACTGAAAAAGTAGAGCAATTAATTACTGTTCAGTTTAAGGTATTTTAATTACAGTTACTTACAATGTACTTACGTTACATTGTAAAATAATTAAACTTGCTGAAAATCATTATATAATTTCAATAATTTATCTTCTAAACGTAGAAGTAAACTCTGCCGCTTTAACATCGCTGAAGTGCAGCTGCACGTCATTTCGAAGCGAGTGGCTGTTTTATGAAATGGACATATTGCC